CTAGGGGTTACACCCGGGTTTTGGAAAGGGTGGCCACAACCCCCCCCCACCCCCCACAATACCCCAAATTCCCCCGGGTTTACAAATCATTTCTTAAAATTTTAGGGTGTTTAAAAAGGAACAGACAACTCTGTTTGTGGACGGAGGTCTGATCTGACCCCATTTAATAAACACAGAACACAACTGACACTCCATTAACTCGTCTGTCCAGTCACATCATCGATATATCTTGTCGTATACAATAAGATTTGTTTAATTGTTTTTTTTTATTTTTTTTAAATTGTGCCGGTGACTTTGTGCTGGGATAGCCTTGGTGATGCTGATGAAAAGCTAAGTGGGTTTTATTAATGGGGATAGCTGGATCTGTGAGGTGCATTCATAGGCTTGACTGAGCAGATGTTTATACAAGATGGCTGCTGGGACCCCTCATCCAGGTTAGTAGTGTCCCTTGGTGGTGGGTTAAATATTTTCTTATAAACCTTCCAGATTTGTCCCTCAGACACTCCACATTCATTACTACTTCTGGACACCAGATACTATTAACAACAGAAAAAATTGACTCAAAATTCACCATAGAGAGGTTTTCACCCTTCTTATTGTACATAAAAATCAACAAGGTTTGAGTAGTTTGAAGGTCCCCCTAGAAGTCCACTTTCACACCTCGTACAGGAAGATGCCACTGGAACGACTGTCAAGAGGCTCATCATGATGGGCTCAACTTTCCCCGGTCACCAGTTCAATGCAGACGGTGTCACCCGCACTCAAGCTGTAGAATAATATTGAAGGACCCCAAAGTGAAGCTGGGTGGTGGTCTTGATTTCTACGAGTGGCTTTCTTCTCCAGGCCTTCTGGTTGATAGCCCTCCAGAGTCCACCCTGGCAATGCCCAAGTTGGATTTGAGGAAAGCACAGCATCAATCTTTTTTCATCTTTGTAGCCAGTCAAGATTGGCACTAAAGAAGTACCTGCTTCTATTGGGGCAGTGGAAGGATACATGGGAATAAAAAAATGCAATGGCTAGTTAGAGATGGGAGACCTGAGACCTAAAACCGTTGTGTAAGCAGACGTGGAGACCTGAAGAACTAAAACGTTTGTTAGAGACATGAGACCTAAAACCTTTGTTAGAGACGAGAGACCTGAGAACCTAAAAGCTTTGTTACGAGTCGGGAGAAACCTGAGGCCCTACAACCATTTGGTTAGAGACGGGAGGACCTGAGGCCTAAAACCTTTGTTAGAGACGGGAAGACCTGAGACATTAAATCCTTTATTAGAGGGACGGAGCCTTGAGGCCTAAGAAAACCTTTGTTAGAGACGTGAGGACCTGAGACCTAACAACCTTTGTTAGGAGGTGGGAGACCTGAGACCTAAAACCTTTTGTTAGGAGACGGGAGATGTAAACTCATAAAACATTTTGTTAGAGAAATGAAACCTAAGGACCTAAAACCTTTGGTTAGAGATGGGAGATAAAAAAACCTGAGACCTAAAACCTTTGTTAGTAAGACAGGAAGACCTGAGACCCTAAAACCTTTGTTTAGAGACAGGAAGACCTGGAGACCTAAAACCTTTGTTAGAGGACATGAGGACCTGAGACCTATAACCTTTGTTAGAGACAGGGAGACCTGAGAACCCTAAAACCTTTGGTTAGAGACAGAGAGACCTGAGACCTAAAACCTTTGTGCTAGAGAACAGAAGACCCCTGAGGACCCCTAACATTTGTTAGAGACGTTCGAGACCTAAAACCTTTATTTATGAGACGGGAGGAGACACTAAAAACCTTTTGTTGGAGACGGGAGATGTAAGATCTTAAACATTTGTTAGAGACGTTGGAGACCTAAGACTAAAAACCTTTGATAGAGATTGGGAGACCTGGAGACCTAAAACCTTTGTTAGAGACGTGGAGACCTAAGTCCTAAATACCTTTTGTTAGCAGACCAGGAGAGCTAGAGACCCTTAAACCTTTCTTAGGAGACGTGATACCTAAAACCTTTGTTATGAGATTGTGAGAAGCTAAGGGCCTAAAACCTATGTTAGAGACGGAGACCTTGAGGCCCTAATAAACCATTATTAGAGACGGGAGACCTCGAGACTAAAACCTTAGTTAGAGACAGGAGAACCTGAGACCTAAAAAACCTTTATTAGTGGACAGGAACATAGAGCCTAAAACCTTTATATAGAGACAGGTAGTCCTGAGGCCTAAAACCTTTGTTAGAGGCGGAGAGACCTGAGAACCTAAAACCATTGTTAGAGAGGGAGATATAAGATCTAAACATTTGTTAGAGACGTGAGACTGAGAACCTAAAAACCTTTGTTAGAGACAGGAGATTCTGAGACCTAAAACCTTTGTTGTTATCGATGGAGACCTAAGACCTAAAAACCTTTGCTAGAGACGGGAGACCTAAAACTATAACGTTTGTTAGAGACAGGAGACCTGAGACCTAAAACCTTGTTATCGATGGAGACCTAAGACCTAATGTCAGGGCAGGAGCCTAGGAACGGGCAGCAGAGGCCTAAAACAATGTAACGCACTAGGCTGACGAACAACCACCACCCACAGAGTACGAAGTCCTTCAGGGCGCGGAGTCTAAGTCCAGGCTGCCTTCTCCAGGGCCTGATTGGTGGGGAGGGACTTGACGCAGCCAGGAACCAGGTCGCGGCCCCGCGGACACCTTCAGCTGCGGTAATGGCCGCTGCCAATGGCGTGTAGCTGTGGAAGAGACAAAAGAGTAGTCAGACAAGCCGGGGTCAACAACAACAGGACAAAACAGTACAGTGACAGCAGACGAGAATCACAGGTCACGGGCCGGGTTCAGCAACAGAGGGTCAGATCAAAGGAGAATACAAAGAATAGTCAAGTCACAAGCCGAGTCAGATTCCAGGAGAGTCACGAGAGTCAGAACAGAGTAACAGCAACACAAAGACACAAGACACAAGTGCAAAGAGCATGTGGTCGGGGCCACAGGCTTATATGTCATCAGCCACACCCCCTATGGGGGATGGACCACAGAAACCCTGAAGCATAAAAGGATTCCCATCATGCACAGCAGAATCCAAGATGACGCCAGCACATGGGAGTAACAGTAACCTCAGGGAAAAGGTAGGACCTTGACACCTAAAACCTTTGTTAGAGACGTGAGACCTGAAAGGACCTAAAACCTTTGTTAGATGACAGGAGACCTGAGGACCTAAAACCTTTGTTATCGAATGGAGAACTAAGACTTAAACCTTTGTTAGGAGACAGGAGACCTAAAACCTTTGTTAGAGAAAGGAGACCTAAGACCTAAACCTTTGTTAGAGAAAGGATGACCTAAGACCTATAACCTTTGTTAGAGAAAGGAGACCTAAGACCTATAATAACCCTTTGTTAGAGTCGACAGGAGATCTGAGGCGTAAAACCTTTTGTTAGAGACAGGAGATTCTAAGATCTAAACCTTTTGCTAGAGGACAGGAGACCTAAGACCTAACCTTTGTTACAGACAAGGAGACCTCAAGAATCTAAAACCGTTTGTTAGAGGAATGGCTAACTATCCTCAGAGTCTGGATAGATGATGGCTAACTATCTCAGAGGTTCTGGAGGGATTATAGCTAACTATCCTCAAAGGTCTGCGGTTGATGGCTAACTATCCTCAGAGGTATGGAGGATGATGGCTAACTACCCATTGAGGTCTGAAGGATGATGGCAAACTATCCTCAGAGGTCTTGAGGATGATGGCTAACTATCCTCAGAGGTCTGGAGGATGATGGCTAAACTATCCTCAGAGGTCTGCAGGATGATGGCTAACTATCCTCAGAGGTCTGCAGGATGATGACCAAAGATCCTTCAAGGTCTGAGAATGATAGGTAACTATCTTCAAAGGTGAAGGATGATGGCTAACTATCCTTCAAGGTCAAGAGAATGATAGGTAACTATCTTCAAAAGTTAAGGATGATGGCTATCTTCAGATATGGAGAATGATGCATAACTATCCCTCAAAGTTCCAGGATGATGGCTAACGATCCTCAGGGGTCTTTAGAATGATGGCTAACTATCCTTAACTGTGGAGGATGATGAATAACTATCCTCAGAGGTCTGCAGGATGATGGCTAACGATCCTTTCAAGGTCTAGAGAATGATAGGTAACTATCTTCAAAGGTGAAGGATGATGGCTATCTTCAGATATGGAGAATTGATGCATAACTATCCTCAAAGTTCAAGGATGATGGCTAACGATCCTCAGGGGTCTTTAGAATGATGGCTAACTATCCTCAATTGTGGAGGATGATGAATAACTATACTCAGAGATCTGCACTCACCTGTTTCTGGATCATAGCCATGTCCATCATTCACCAAAATCTTATCAAAAGGAATGGTTCCAGCCTCCAATATCGGTATGGTGAGAGCAGCAGAGAAGGAGATGTGAGGAACCTCAGGCGTGAGGCCAATAGGACCTGAAGATGCAAGCAATGTTGTTATATGCAGGAGGCATTACATTGTGTCATCGACTCATACGTGGTATGGTACTATATACTGTGCATTCATCTAATAATCATGAGGGCTGCATACCGATAGTTCCTATATGAAGGAAGCCATCCCATCCGAAGCGAGATTACTGGCAGGAGCCCTAAACCCTCAAAGCTTCCTTAACCCTTTCCTAACTTTACTCTAACCTAACCCAATCACTACCCTAATCACAATATTACCTTAACTCCAAACCCTACCCTGCTTCAACTGCTAACCCCCATCCTAACCCCTACCCCCAAACCTTCCTCTAACCCTCAAATATCCATATTCTACTTCTAGACTACCCCTACGTTACAGCTAAACCTACCCTTGTTTTATTTCTACCTTAGCTCTGAAAACTATCTCAATCTTAACTCTAGGCTTAACCCTACTCTAACTTTATCCCAACTCCCATCCCTTCGTAAACTCTACTCCAACCCTATACGACCCTGTCTTGAAACTAGATCCTAACTACGAAACCTAGTCCTACTCTAACTCTGAATGGCAACCCTGCTGGTACCTTCTCCATCTCTACACTAACCCTACACACCCCCTTATTAGACTCGAGTCTAATTACTAACCTAGTCCTACTCTAAATTCACTCTCCATGGTAACCCTACTGATTCCTTAACCCAACCCTACCCTAGCTCCTAGCCTTACTCAATTGTAACTCCAACCCTGCTCTAACTTTTTCCCAACTCCCATCCCTTCATAAACCCTAATTTAACCATATACAACCCCATGTTGAAACTAGATCCTAACTACGAAACTTAGTCCTACTCCAATTCTGATTGGTAACCATACTGATACCTTCTCCATCTCTACACTAACCATACACAACCCCTTATTAGACTCGAGTCCAATTACTAACCTAGTCCTACTCTGAATTCACTCTGAATGGTAACCGTACTGATACCTTCACCCAACCCTACCCTAGTCTCGAGCTATTCTAACCCCAAACCTACTATAACAAATCCTATCCCTTCGTAAACTCTACTCTAACCCTATACAACCCATTTTGAACTAGATCCTAACTATGAAACCTAGTCTTTCTCTTACTCTGAATGGTAACCCTACTGATACCTTCTCCATCTCTACACTAACCCTACACACCCCCTTATTAGACTCGAGTCCAATTACTAACCTAGTCCTACTCTGAATTCACTTTGCATGGTAACCGTACTGATACCTTCACCCAACCCTACCCTAGCTCCTAGCTTTACTCTATTCTGACCCCAACCATACTCTAACTTTTTCCCAACTCCCATCCCTTCGTAAACCCTAATTTAACCCTATACAACCCCATTTTGAACTAGATTCTAACTACGAAACCTAGTCCTACTCTTACTCTGAATGGCAACCCTACTGATACCTTCTCCATCTCTACACTAACCCTTCACACCCCCTTATTAGACTCGAGTCTAATTACTAACCTAGTCCTACTCTGAATTCACTTTGCATGGTAACCGTACTGATACCTTCACCCAACCCTACCCTAGCTCCTAGCCTTACTCTATTCTGACCCCAACCATACTCTAACTTTTTCCCAACTCCCATCCCTTCGTAAACCTAATTTAACCATATACAACCCCATTTTGAACTAGATCCTAACTACGAAACCTAGTCTTTCTCTTACTCTGAATGATAACCCTACTGATACCTTCTCCATCTCTACACTAACCCTTCACACCCCCTTATTAGACTCGAGTCCAATTACTAACCTAGTCCTACTCTGAATTCACTTTGCATGGTAACCGTACTGATACCTTCACCCAACCCTACCCTAGCTCCCTAGCTTTACTCTATTCTGACCCCAACCATACTCTAACTTTTTCCCAACTCCCATCCCTTCGTAAACCCTAATTTAACCCTATACAACCCCATTTTGAACTAGATTCTAACTACGAAACCTAGTCCTACTCTTACTCTGAATGGCAACCCTACTGATACCTTCTCCATCTCTACACTAACCCTTCACACCCCTTATTAGACTCGAGTCTAATTACTAACCTAGTCCTACTCTGAATTCACTTTGCATGGTAACCGTACTGATACCTTCACCCAACCCTACCCTAGCTCCTAGCTTTACTCTATTCTAACCCCAACCCTACTCTAACTTTATCCCAACTCCCATCCCTTCGTAAACTCTACTCTAACCCTATACAACCCCATTTTAAAACTAGATCCTAACTACGAAACCTAGTCTTTCTCTTACTCTGAATGATAACCCTACTGATACCTTCTCCATCTCTACACTAACCCTTCACACCCCCTTATTAGACTCGAGTCTAATTACTAACCTAGTCCTACTCTGAATTCACTTTGCATGGTAACCGTACTGATACCTTCACCCAACCCTACCCTAGCTCCTAGCCTTACTCTATTCTGACCCCAACCATACTCTAACTTTTTCCCAACTCCCATCCCTTCGTAAACCCTAATTTAACCATATACAACCCCATTTTGAACTAGATCCTAACTACGAAACCTAGTCCTACTCTTACTCTGAATGGCAACCCTACTGATACCTTCTCCATCTCTACACTAACCCTACACAACCCCTTATTAGACTCGAGTCCAATTACTAACCTAGTCCTACTTTGAATTCACTCTGAATGGTAACCGTACTGATATCTTCACCCAACCCTACCCTAGTCTCAAGCTATTCTAACCCCAAACCTACTATAACAAATCCTATCCCTTCGTAAACTCTACTCTAACCATATACAACCCCATTTTGAACTAGATCCTAACTACGAAACCTAGTCCTACTCTTACTCTGAATGATAACCCTACTGATACCTTCTCCATCTCTACACTAACCATACACACCCCCTTATTAGACTCGAGTCCAATTACTAACTTAGTCCTACTTTGAATTCACTCTGAATGGTAACCCTACTGATACCTTCACCCAACCCTACCCTAGTCTTGCCCTATTCTGACCCCAACCATACTCTAACTTTTTCCCAACTCCCATCCCTTCGTAAACCCTAATTTAACCATATACAACCCCATTTTGAACTAGATCCTAACTACGAAACCTAGTCCTACTCTTACTCTGAATGGCAACCCTACTGATACCTTCTCCATCTCTACACTAACCCTACACGACCCCTTATTAGACTCGAGTCCAATTACTAACTTAGTCCTACTTTGAATTCACTCTGAATGGTAACCGTACTGATATCTTCACCCAACCCTACCCTAGTCTTGCCCTATTCTAACCCCAACCCTACTCTAACTTTATCCCAACTCCCATCCCTTCGTAAACTCTACTCTAACCCTATACAACCCCATTTTAAAACTAGATCCTAACTACGAAACCTAGTCTTTCTCTTACTCTGAATGGTAACCCTACTGATACCTTCTCCATCTCTACACTAACCCTTCACACCCCCTTATTAGACTCGAGTCTAATTACTAACCTAGTCCTACTCTGAATTCACTTTGCATGGTAACCGTACTGATACCTTCACCCAACCCTACCCTAGCTCCTAGCCTTACTCTATTCTGACCCCAACCATACTCTAACTTTTTCCCAACTCCCATCCCTTCGTAAACCCTAATTTAACCCTATACAACCCCATGTTGAACTAGATCCTAACTACGAAACCTAGTCCTACTCTTACTCTGAATGGCAACCCTACTGATACCGTCTCCATCTCTACACTAACCCTACACGACCCCTTATTAGACTCGAGTCCAATTACTAACCTAGTCCTACTTTGAATTCACTCTGAATGGTAACCCTACTGATACATTCACCCAACCCTACCCTAGTCTTGCCCTATTCTAACCCCAACCCTGCTTTATCCCTACACTAAACTTACTTGAACCCTTCCCTAACCCTTAACCCTATCCCTGCCCCTCCCTAACCCTTAACCCTATCCCTGCCCCTCCCTAACCCCCAACCCTATCCCTGCCCTTCCCTAACCACAACCTTATCTCAAGCTCTATACTAACCCCACAGTACCTCCAGCGTATCCATCGTCTTACCGAATCCCTAAGACTTCTCTTCTCCCGATAATCCTCTATGGACTCCAGTCTAGCCCTAATCTTACACTGGTAGCAGGAACCCCGCCCCCTTGCCCTGATGGTGTCACGGAGGAGGAGTTTGGAGACGGTGGGTGATAAGAAGCAGCTTTTCTCTATATAATGACACCCGTCTGCACTGCTATGCCTGGGAGACCCCTGAATGTGGCGCCCCATAAATATCTCCTATAACATAAATTACTAAACGTGTTCCTTTCCTTCTGAATTGAAATTCGGACAAAATTGTCGTTATTCGTAGATTTGGATGTAGATTTGGACTATCCTGAATTCCTGAATTACAATAGTAACAAAGTGTCAGTGGGGGGCCCTGTGTATGTCAGTGGGGGCCCTGTGTGTCAGTGGGGGCCCTGTGAGTGTCAGTGGGGGCCTTATGTTTCAGTGGGGGGCCCTGTGTGTCAGTGGGGGCCCTGTGTATGTCAGTGGGGGCCCTGTGTGTCAGTGGAGGCCCTGTGTATATCAGTGGAGGCCCTGTGTGTCAGTGGGGGCCCTGTGTATGTCAATGGGGGCCCTGTGTATGTCAGTGAGGGGCCCTGTGTGTCAGTGGGGGGCCCTGTGTGTCAGTGGGGGGGGCCCTGTGTATATCAGTGGTGGGCCCTATGTATGTCAGTGGGGGGCCCTGTGTTTCAGTGGGGGGCCCGGTGTATGTCAGTGGGGGGCTCTGTGTATGTCAGTGGGGGGCTCTGTGTTTGTCAGTGGTGGGCCCTGTGTATGTCAGTGGGGGGCCCTGTGTGTCAGTGGGAGCCCTGTGTGTCAGTGGTTGGCCCTGTGTATGTCAGTGGGAAGCCCTGTGTTTCGGTGGGGGGCCCGGTGTATGTCAGTGGGGGGCCCTGTGTATGTCAGTGGGAAGCCCTGTGTTTCAGTGGGGGGCCCTGTGTGTTTCAGTGGTGGGTCCTGTATGTCAGTGGGAAGCCCTGTGTTTCAGTGGGTGGCCCTGTGTGTTTCAGTGGTAGGCTCTGTATGTCAGTGGGGGGGGGCTGTATGTATGTCAGTGGGGGACTCTGTGCATGTCAGTGGTGAGCCCTGTGTGTGTCAATGTGGAACATAAAGGAATAGAAAAGAATAGAATAGAACAGAATAGAATAGAAATGAATAGAATATAAAAACAAAGAATAGAATAGCAGTCTTCTGAAGTTCAAATTTTGTAAGAATAGAAAAAACAGAGTAAAATGGACTGAAATAGAATAGAAAATGAAAAAAATGAATAAAACAGAATAGAAAATAATGAACTAGATTAAAAAAAGAATAGCAAATAAAGGAATATTAAAGAATAGAATAAATTGAATAGAAAATAATAGAATAAAATAGAATTAAAAAGAATAGAATAAAAAGAGAGTAGCAAATAAAGGAATAGAAAAGAATAGAATATAAAGGAATAAAACAGAATAGAATACAAAGAATATGACTGTCTTCTGAAATTCGAATTTTGAATAGAATAGCACCAGCTCTGTAAAATGAGAGATATGGGAAATGACAGGTCCTCACCACACCTATCATTGGGGGGACCATCATGCTGACTGTCCAGCCCCCCCCCCATCATAAGGACTCAAGATGGAGGATCAGTGGTACAAGAGTTGTCGGATCCCCGGTGGTCTATTGCACCCATACCACCAGTGGAGGGAGCGGCCCGTACAAAGGCCAGAAAGCCGATCTTCGTGGTTCATCTCTCTGGCTGATCAGAGAATAAAATGTGCGGGAAATGTCTCACCTTGTTCCCCACGCAGTCCTAGAACAGAAAACAGGATAACGAATTACTCCTCTGACAGGCAATGTCATCATTACATCTCATCCACTCAGCAATGTGTGACCGTAATACAGAATGCAGTGTGCACATGGATGTGGGGTGGAACTGTCAGGGTTCAATGGGGCGGTATTACCTCCCGGCCACTGCAGATCACTTCTCTGAGGGGGTGGTAAGAAAGGACGACGAGTAAATGAGCCCCAAGAGATATATTGCCCCAAGTATGTCAGTGGGGGGCTCGGCCTTTCCACGCACATGGACTTTATTGGCCTTCCCAGTCTCAGTCCGTAGGGTTCAATATTGGGTTGGCCCCGCCCTTTGTATAGTCAGTGGGGCCCTGTGTGTGTCAGTGGGGGCCTGTGTGTGTCAGTGGGGGGCCCTGTGTATATCAGTGGGGGGGCTCGGTGTATGTCAGTGGGGGGCCCTGTGTATATCAGTGGGGGGGCCCTGTGTATATCAGTGGGGGGCCCTGTGTATGTCAGTGGGGGGCCCTGTGTTGTGTTGTCAGTGGGGGCCTGTGTGTAAGTCAATGGGGGGCCCTGTGTATGTCAGTGGGGGGCCCTGTGTATATGTCAGTGGGGGGCCCTGTGTATGTCAGTGGGGGGCCCTGTGTATGTCAGTGGGGGGCCCTGTGTATGTCAGTGGGGGCTCTGTGTATGTCAGTGGGGGGCTCTGTGTATGTCAGTGGGGGGTCCCTGTGTATATCTGTCAGTGGGGGGCTCGGTGTATGTCAGTGGGGAGCCCTGTGTATATCAGTGGGGGGCCTGTGTATATCAGTGGGGGGCCCTGTGTATGTCAGTGGGGGACCCTGTGTATGTCAGTGGGGAGCCCTGTGTAAGTCAGTGGGGGGGGGTCCCTGTGTATGTCAGTGGGGAGCTGGGGGGGGAGCCCTGTGTGTCATAGTCATTGGGGGGCCCTGTGTAAGTCAGTGGGGAGCACTGTGTATGTCAGTGTGGGGAGCCCTGTGTATATCAATGGGGGAGCCCTGTGTATGTCAGTGGGGAGCACTGTGTATATCAGTGGGGAGCCCTGTGTATATCAGTGGGGAGCCCTGTGTATGTCAGTGGGGAGCCCTCTGTATATCATTGGGGGGCTCTGTGTATGTCAGTGGGGAGCCCTGTGTATATCAGTGGGGAGCACTGTGTATGTCAGTGGGGAGCACTGTGTATATCAGTGGGGAGCACTGTGTATGTCAGTGGGGAGCCCTGTGTATGTCAGTGGGGAAGCACTGTGTATATCATCTGTGTCATGTAGCACTGTGTATGTCAGTGGGGGGCCCTGTGTATGTCAGTGGGGAGCCTGTGTATATCAGTGGGGGCCCTGTGTATATCAGTCAGTGGGGAGCTCTGTGTATGTCAGTGGGGGCCCTGTGTATGTCAGTGGGGAGGGCCCTGTGTGTAATGTCAGTGGGGGGCCTGTGTATGTCAGTGGGGGCCCTGTGTATGTCAATGTCAGTGGGGGGCTCTGTGTATGGAGTGGGGAGCCCTGTGTATGTCAGTGGGGGGGGTGTATATCAGTCAGGGGGGCCCTGTGTATAGGTCAGTGGGGGGCCCTGTGTATGTCAGTGGGGGCCCTGTGTAAGTCAGTGTCAGTGGGGAGCACTGTGTATGTCAGTGGGGGGCTCTCTGTGTATATCAGTGTGGGGAGCACTGTGTATGTCAGTGGGGGGCTCTGTGTATGTCAGTGGGGAGCCCTGTGTAAGTCAGTGGGGGGCCTCTGTGTATGTCAGTGGGGAGCACTGTGTATGTCAGTGGGGGGCTCTGTGTATATCAGTGGGGGAGCACTGTGTATGTCAGTGGGGAGCTCCTGTGTATATCAGTGGGGAGCACTGTGTATATCAGTGGGGAGCCTTTGTGTATATCAGTGGGGGGCCCTGTGTAAGTCAGTGGGGGGCTCTGTGTATATCAGTGGGGAGCCCTGTGTATGTCAGTGGGGAGCCTGTGTATATATCAGTGGGGGGGGCTCTGTGTATGTCAGTGGGGAGCTCTGTGTATATCAGTGGGGGGCCTGTGTATGTCAGTGGGGAGCACTGTGTATATCAGTGGGGGAGCCCTGTGTATGTCAGTGGGGAGCCCCTGTGTATATCAGTGTATGTCAGTGGGCCCTGTGTATATCAGTGGGGCGGCCCTGTGTATGTCAGTGGGGGGCCCTGTGTATATCAGTGGGGGCCCTGTGTATATCAGTGGGGGGGGGCTCTGTGTATGTCAGTGGGGGGCCCTGTGTATGTCAGTGGGGGGCCTGTGTATGTCAGTGGGGGGCCTGTGTATATCAGTGGGGGGCCCTGTGTATATCAGTGGGGGGCCCTGTGTATGTCAGTGGGGGCAGTGGGGGGCTCTGTGTATATCAGTGGGGGGCCCTGTGTAAGTCAGTGGGGGGCTCTGTGTATATCAGTGGGGGGCCCTGTGTAAGTCAGTGGGGGGCCCTGTGTAAGTAGTGGGGGGCTCTGGTATGCAGTCTGTGTATGTCAGTGGGGAGCCCTGTGTAAGTCAGTGGGGGCTCTGTGTATGTCAGTGGGGGGCACTGTGTATGTCAGTGGGGGGCTCTGTGTATATCATATCAGTGGGGAGCACTGTGTATGTCAGTGGGGAGCTCTGTGTATGTCAGTGGGGAGCACTGTGTATATCATTGGGGGGGCCCTGTGTATGTCAGTATCAGTGGTGTGTATCAGTGGGGGGCCCTGTGTAAGTCAGTGGGGGGCTCTGTGTATATCAGTGGGGAGCTCTGTGTATGTCAGTGGGGGGCCCTGTGTATGTCAGTGGGGGGCCCTGTGTATGTCAGTGGGGAGCCCTGTGTATATGTCAGTGGGGAGCACTGTGTATGTCAGTGGGGAGCCCAGCAGTGTATATCAGTGGGAGGCTTTGTGTATATCAGTGGGGGGCCCTGTGTAAGACAGTGGGGGGCTCTGTGTATATCAGTGGGGGGCCCTGTGTATGTCAGTGGGAAGCCCTGTGTATATCAGTGGGGGGCCCTGTGTGCATCAGTGGGGGGCCCTGTGTATGTCAGTGGGGGCCCTGTGTATATCAGTGGGGGGGGGGCACTGTGTAAGTCAGTGGGGGGCCCTGTGTATGTCAGTGGGGGGCCCTGTGTATGTCAGTCAGTGGGGGGCCCTGTGTATGTCAGTGGGGGGGCCCTGTGTATGTGTATCAGTCAGTGGGGGGCCCTGTGTATATCAGTGGGGGGCCCTGTGTAAGTCAGTGGGGGGCTCTGTGTATATCAGTGGGGGCCCTGTGTAAGTCAGTGGGGGCCTGTGTATGTCAGTGGGGAGCCCTGTGTATGTCAGTGGGGGGCCCTGTGTATATCAGTGGGGGGCCCTGTATATCAGTGGGGGGCCCTGTTGTAAGTCAGTGGGGGGGCAGTGGGGGGCCCTGTGTATATCAGTGGGGGGCCCTGTGTATATCAGTCAGTGGGGGGCTCTGTGTATATCAGTGGGGGGGGGGCCCTGTGTAAGTGGGGGGCTCTGTGTATATCAGTGGGGGGCCCTGTGTATGTCAGTGGGGGGCTCTGTGTATATCAGTGGGGGGCCCTGTGTATGTCAGTGGGGGGCCCTGTGTATATCAGTGGGGGGCCCTGTGTATCATCAGTGGGGGGCCCTGTGTAAGTCAGTGGGGGGCCCTGTGTATGTCAGTGGGGGGGGCCCTGTGTATGTCAGTGGGGGGCTCTGTGTATGTCAGTGGGGGGGCCCTGTGTATGTCAGTGGGGGGCTCTGTGTATATAAGTGGGGGGCCCTGTGTAAGTCACTGGGGGGCTCTGTGTATATCAGTGGGGGGGGGCCCTGTGTATGTTAGTGGGGGGCCCTGTGTATGTCAGTGGGGGGTCCCTGTGTAAGTCAGTGGGGGGTCCCTGTGTAAGTCAGTGGGGGTCCCTGTGTTATCAGTGGGGGGCTCTGTGTATATCAGTCAGGGGGGCCCTGTGCATGTCAGTCAGTGGGGGGCTTGTGTGTATGTCAGTGGGGGGCCCTGTGTAAGTCAGTGGGGGGGCCCTGTGTATATCAGTGGGGGGCCCTGTGTATGTCAGTGGGGGGGCTCATGTGTGTATGTCAGTGGGGGGCCCTGTGTATGTCAGTGGGGGGCTCTGTGTATAGTCAGTGGGGGGCTCTGTGTATATCAGTGGGGGGCCCTGTGTATAGTCAGTGGGGGGCCCTGTGTATGTCAGTGGGGGGGCCCTGTGTATGTCAGTGGGGGGCCCGGTGTATATCAGTGGTGGGCCCTGTGCATGTCAGTGGGAAGCCCTGTGTATATCACTGGGGGGCTCTGTGTATATCAGTGGGGGGCCCTGTGTATGTCAGTGGGGAGCCCTGTGCATATCAGTGAGGGGCCCTGGCCCTATGCCTACAATCATTCAGCGGCTGCTCATCTCAGTGGGGATCTTCTACTCTGCACATCATCACAGTAGGGACAGGAAACATTGCCTTGGTGGGTTCAGGCCGTTCTCTGCACTTCCTGTCATGGCTCCTCCAAGGTTGGCCGAGCTCTGCTGCCCCTCCCCCGCACAGAGCGCCATGTGATATCTCCATAGTCTGTGTTCTACAGCCAGCCGGGTGGGTCTCTCAGGTCAGAAGGAGCAGAATGGAGCCCAGGGGATTCAGTCTAGGGATACGGAAGAGAAGATGGCCGAGCCCTAAAATCCAAACCCCTCCCTTGGCCAGTGACAACAGGACAGAACCAATCATAGCTCACCGAGGATATTATTTATGTATGGATCCAGAAGAACTGATCTCACCTGGTGGTCCTATAGGCCCTTGATTTCCAGCTGGCCCATCTCTTCCAGGAGGCCCAGTGGGTCCTTTTGGTCCAGGGGGTCCAGTCTTCCCAATTGGGCCAGGTGGACCTGGCAGGCCTGGAGGTCCTGTGAGAAGTTAGAAAGGATGTACGATATATATTAAATATCACGATTCAGAAAGCTCCTGACTACAGAAATAATTTCGGTACAAGATGTGATAAAGGGTCACCATGAGATAGTCTCTCGGTTTGGATGGGTCGGGCCAACTGTTGGCTTCTGATATCTCTTAGTCACAGTAGGTGTGATATGGCCTCCACCATAGTCCCTGCCCAACCTCAGACATTTGGTTTTCCAACCAACCTTTGGATTTTCCTTATAATAAAAAATACCGTACAGAGGTGGTGGGAGCCCCTTGTAACGGCTGACTTGCAGACCTCTGAACCCAAAAGCAGAGATCTCACCACTGCTAAACCCAACAGAGGTTTCAGCTTTAGATGGATGGGCCCTTTAGAGGTGCAGTTGGGCACAGTAGATGTCTAACCCCATAGATATTTCCTGATCCTATAACGTTCTGTCCAAGTCTTTGTTGTGGATTATCACTATCTGGGTCCAATCTTCACTCGGTGATGTACCAAAGTTTGTCCTCAATCTCAATGCACCTCCCCCCTTACCAATACAGTTCTCCTCCTTGGGTCCCATTCCAGGGTCACGTACCTCCAGGAAAATCCCTTGCTTTCCCAAAGGAAAAAACCTGCATACAGCAATCCAGGCTAGGACACCCTCCCCGGGCCTGTTCTGTAGAACACCCAAGACCTGGGCTCCTCTATAGAACACCCTCCCCAGGCTTGGGTCCCTCCATAGAACACACTCCCCTTACCTCGGCCCCTCTATAGGACAGCACACCTACTCCAAGCTTGGGTCCCCTCTGTAGAACACACTTCCTAGGCCTGGGCCCCTCTGCAAAAACCCACCCCCAGGCTTGGGCCCCTCTGTAGAACACCCTCCCCAGGCTTGGGTCCCTCCATAGAATGCCCACCCCTTACCTTGTCCCCTCTATAGGACAGCACACCTACTCCAAGCTTGGCCCCCCTCTGTAGAACACACTTCCTAGGCCTGGGCCCCTCTGTAAAACACCTGCCCGAGGCCTGGGCCCCTCTGTAGAACACCCTCCCCAGGCTTGGCTCCCTCCATAGAACATCCTCCCCAGACCTCAACCCCTCTATAGAACACCTTCCCCAGGCTTGGGTCCCTCCATAGAACACACTCCCCTTACCTCGGCCCCTCTATAGGACAGCACACCTACTCCAAGCTTGGCCCCCCTCTGTAGAACACACTTCCTAGGCCTGGGCCCCTCTGTAAAACACCTGCCCGAGGCCTGGGCCCCTCTGTAGAACACCCTCCCCAGGCTTGGGTCCCTCCATAGAACATCCTCCCCAGGCTTGGGTCCCTCCATAGAACATCCTCCCCAGACCTCAACCCCTCTATAGAACACCTTCCCCAGGCTTGGGTCCCTCCATAGAACACACTCCCCTTACCTTGGCCCCTCTATAGGACAGCACACCTACTCCAAGCTTGGGCCCCCTCTGTAGAACATACTTCCTAGGCCTGGGCCCTCTGTAAAACACCTACCCCAGGCTTGGGCCCCTCTATAGAACATCCTCCCCAGACCTCAACCCCTCTATAGAACACCCTCCCCAGGCTTGGGTCCCTCCATAGAACACATTCTCCTTACCTCGGCCCCTCTATAGGACAACGCACCTACTCCAAGCTTGGGCCCCCTCTGTAGAACACACTTCCTAGGCCTGGGCCCCTCTGTAAAACACCTACCCCAGGCTTGGGCCCCTCTATAGAACATCCTCCCCAGACCTCAACCCCTCTATAGAACACCCTCCCCAGGCTTGGGTCCCTCCATAGAACACATTCTCCTTACCTCGGCCCCTCTATAGGACAACGCACCTACTCCAAGCTTGGGCCCCCTCTGTAGAACACACTTCCTAGCCTGGGCCCCTCTGTAAAACACCTGCCCCAGGCCTGGGCCCCTCTGTAGAACACCCTCCCCAGGCTTGGGTCCCTCCATAGAACACACTCCCCTTACCTCGGCCCCTCTATAGGACAACGCACCTACTCCAAGCTTGGGCCCCCTCTGTAGAACACACTTCCTAGGCCTGGGCCCCTCTGTAAAACACCTGCCCCAGGCCTGGGCCCCTCTGTAGAACACCCTCCCCAGGCTTGGGTCCCTCTATAGAACATCCTCCCCAGACCTCAACCCCTCTATAGAACACCTTCCCCAGGCTTGGGTCCCTCCATAGAACACACTCCCCTTACCTTGGCCCCTCTATAGGACAGCACACCTACTCCAAGCTTGGGCCCCCTCTGTAGAACACACTTCCTAGGCCTGGGCCCCTCTGTAAAACACCCACCCCAGGCTTGGGCCCCTCTATAGAACATCCTCCCCAGACCTCAACCCCTCTATAGAACACCTTCCCCAGGCTCGGGTCCCTCTGTAGAACACCCTCCCTTGACCTTGGCCCCTCCGTAGGCACCCTCCCTAGACTTGCTCCCCTCTGTAGAACACATTCCCTAGCCTTGAGTCATTCTGTAGAACACCCTACGTAGACCTTGGCCCCTCTATAAAACACCCTCTCCAGGCTTGGGGTTCCCTGTAGAACACACTCCCTAGGCTTCAGCCCCTCTGTACAACAGCCTACGCAGACCTCAGCCACTCTATAGAATAACCTCTCCAGAGTTGGGCCCCTCTGTAGAACACATGCCTTAGGCCTGGGTCCCCTCTGTAGACCACCTTCTGTAGGCCTGGGCATCTCTGTAGAACATTCTACCCAGACCTTAGCTCTTCTATTGAACACCCCTCTCCAGGCTTGGGCCACTCTGTAGAAGACACTCCCTAGGCCTGGTTCCCTTTGTAGAACACCCTCCCAGGCTTGGGCCCCTCTGTAGGACAGCACACTTACTCCCTAGGCTTGGATTCCTCCATAGAACACCCTCCCCAGGCTTGGGTCCCTCTGTAAAACACCTTCCCAGACCTCTGCCCTTTATATAACATCCTACCCAAGCTTGGGCCCTCCTGTAGTACACACTCCCTAGGCTTGGTCCCCTCCATAGAACACCCTCCCCTGACCTCGGCCCCTCTGTAGAACACCCTTCAAAAGGCTTGAGCCTCTCTATAGAACATCCTCTCCAGGCTTGGGCCCCTCTGTAGAACACCCTCCCCAAACCTCTGCCCTTCAATATAACATCCTACCCAGGCTTTGGCCCCCCCTGTAAAACACACTCCCTAGGCTTAAGCCCCTCTGTAGAACACACTACCCAAACCTCAGACCCTCTATAGAACACACTCTCCAGGCTTGGGCCCCTCTGTAGAACACATTCCCTAGGCCTTGGCCCCTCTGTAGAACACATAGTCCTAGGCCTGGGGCCCTCCATAGAACACCCTCCTCAGGCCTTTGCCCCTTTATATAGCATCCTACCCGGGCTCGGGCTCCTCTGTAGAACAGCCCACCGCTCCAGGCTTGGACGCCTCTGTATAACACCCCTCCCCAGGCTTGGGCCCCTATGTAGAACACCCTCCCCAGACCTTGGCCCTCTATATCACACCCTACCCAGGCTTCGGCTTGCCTGTAGAACACACTCCCTAGGCTCAGACCACTCAGAACCCTCTATAGACCTCAGCCCCTCTATAGAACACCCTCTCCAGGCCTGAACCCCTCTGTAGAACACATAGCCTTAGGCCTAGGCCCATCTGTAGATCACCTTCCCCTGGGTTAGTGCTGGGCTTACCCATGAAGTCCTGAAGAGTGAAGTTCTGCCACTCAGAAGACAGAAGAATCATGGAGGTGTTCAGGCTGTTAATTCTACGGTTGATTCCATTGAGTTGGCTGTTATGAAGTTTATCGAACCAGGCGCTGTGAGTTTGGATGGTACTGTTCACCTCATGCACACAGTTCCACAGGCTCGACACGTGTTTGTTCAGGTTCTCCTTTATCTTGTGTAGGCTCCCAGAGACGGAATCCAGCTTAACACAGATGCTCTCCAGCTTGGAAACTCTTTCTTCCAAGCCACTGGAAGACCTTCTGCACTCCCGTGTTTCCTCCACCACTGTACTTCCATATCTGCTGATCTCTTTTTTGGAACACATCAAACTTTTCCACATTATCCTTAATATGTTCCGTCAACTCCTCCTGGATTTTATTGATCTCAGAAATGAGCTTGTGTTTGGTGGTTGCCAGATCGTGGATGTCAGTCTGCTGTTGTCCGATGCTCTCCTGGAGATCTTTGACGCTGTCATTCAGGGAAGTGAAGGTCACAATAATGTTGGACACTTCTCCTTGTAGGTCCTTCAGGTCTGTATTACTTCCACCAAAGACCTCAAAACCATCAAGACGTTTGTTGGAGCCAGTTTCATCCTCAGGTTTCTTCAAAAACTGGCAAGTATCTGTACACTCACCTACCTGCTCCTTTAATTTGCCCACCTCCTCCTGCAGGTTGGAGCACACTTGACCACAGCTCTTGTAGTCAAACTCAATCATCTTCCTTAAGGATTTAATATCATTTTCCATATCCAATATTTTTCCATTGGTGTCATTCTGGTACTGAGCAATGTTCAGATCGAACCTATCCAGGTCAGATAAGATGGTGGATGTAAATCTATCCTGCGCATCTTTGATATCAGACAATGACTTGCGGAAGGTCTCTTCATTGGAATCCACAACCGTTTTTACATTTGTCATCTCACCATCCAGGTCCATCAATGTATCCTGCATTGAGTTTCCAGATATTCTGAGGTTGTTTACATCAGAGTGGACATTGTGGATCTCATCTTCATTATCTTTCATCCTCTTGTCTAAATCTTCATATAATTTTGTCATGTCTGAACCATGACCGTTGCATTGATTGGTACAACTGTCCATGGTGTCCGTCACCTGGTTTCTCAGACCGTCCAAATCTATAACGACTTTATTAAGTTGGTCTTCGTTCTTTTCCACCTGATCCCTGAGAGAGTCAAGGTCATCAGATAGGCCCATTATCTTTTGGTCCATCAGGTCTCGGAATCCAGAGCTGTTCCCAAGCTCCGTTAGGAGAAGGGTAATTTTGAGGTCATTGCTATTGATGCGATTTTTGAGTTCATCTCTCAGTTTCTTGATCTCGTCTTGGAAGAAGTGCTGCATCTCATCACGATAGTGGTAGTAATGTTCCTCCAGAGTGTGTTTTGTAGTATTCATTCTGCCTTCAATATCTGACAGACGGTTGTCCACTTTGTTGATGGCACCATTGCTATTTTCACCTAATTCACTGTCCAGGCGCACTGTCAGAGCAACAACGGAGCCAGATAAGGTGTCGGATTTCTTCTCAGCCTCGATTACTCTTCTGCGCAGATCAGCGACTTCTGAGCAGCAATCCTTGGGCACACGTGCAGTGAGCTCCACCATACGTGACTGAATGTTCTGCACAATGTCCCTGTTACGCTGGTCCACTGAATTGATGAATTTCTCTAATCCCCGAATGCGATCTCTGTCCTCATTCTGCTGGTTTCGGAAGCCGTCCACTCCTGCAAGACAAGCCGAACAAGATTGCTGCATCCTCTTCTCTACCTCCTGTAGGATGTCTCCCTTCAGGTCTGTCAATTTTTGGCCCACTACAATTTCTGGGCCACCATGGGGCTTGTTGTTTGCATTGTTGAGGTTGCCCAGCTCTTGGTCATGGTCTTTAACCTTTTTGTCCAGGTTTGTTAGAAGAGTCTGAATGTCGTTCAGTTTCTCGGACATGTCCGATTGACCTGGTTCTGAGTCTGCTGGCTGTTTGCCATTTAAAACGTTCTCAACGGTCAGCCGAATTTCGGACTGGAATTTCTCATTCATTCCTTGTAGTGTAGATTGCAGTGTCTGGAGCTCCTTGGTTAGGCGCTGCACCTTGTCCTCTAGTTGCTTCACTTTCTCTGAGTCCGCTTGGCCTGAAAGAAGGTGTGGAAAAGTCAGATGTTAGAGGCTTATTGAGAAAGATTAGTGGGATTGGTTACCATAAACACAATAGACATGTCCAATAATATGAGACCTCTGCAATACCTGAGAGAAGGTTCAGGGACCCTGAAGAGGAGAAGATAGACCCAAAGAGATGCTGCAAAGGGTGAGACAGAAACAGACAGTAATTTGTACAGAGAACCAGAAAACAGAAAGAAAATGAAAAAACAGAGAAACACACAGAAGAGGAGAAACTTCAATATGAGAGCAAACAGGACTGAGGTGAGGAACTACCCAACAACCATATGGGAATCGAGGTGAGGACCCACCCAACCATAATACAGAGTTGTGGTGAGGCTCTACCCCACCACAATACAGTATCGGGGTGAGGACCCACCCAACTACAAAAGAGGATCAAAGTGAGAATTCACCCCACCACAATAAAAGGCCAAGGTCAGGATCCACCCAACAACAATATGGGACAAAGGTGAGGCCCGTTCAACCACATTACAGAATTGAGGTGAGGATCTACCCAACCGCAATACTGGACTGGGGTGAAGACCCACCCAACATCAACACAGGACCAAGGTGAGGACACACACTTAACCACAATACTGGACTGAGGTGAGGACTCACCCACAATATGAGACCAAGGTGAGGCTCCAACCCACTACAATATGGGACCAAGGTGAGGATCCACCCCACCACAATACAGGGCCAAGGTGAAGTTCCACCCAACCACAATACAGGACCATGATGAGGATCCATCCAGCCACAATACAGGGTCAAGGTGAGGCCCTACCCAACCACAATATAAGACTGGGGTGAGAACTTACCCAACCAATACAGAATCGAGGTAAGGGACCACCCAACCACAATACTGGACTGAGATGGAGACCCACCTGACCACAACATGGGACAAAGGTGAAAACCCATCCAACAATACTGGACTGAGGTGAGGACCCACATAACCACAATACAGGACCAAGGTGAGGACCCACCCAACCACAATACCAGACCAAGGTGAGGATTCATCCAACCACAATACAGGACCAAGGTGAGGACCCACCCAACCACAATACCAGACCAAGGTGAGGATTCATCCAACCACAATACAGAATCAAGGTGAGGATCCACCCAACCACAATACAGGATCAAGGTGAGGATCCACCCAACCATAATACAGGATCAAGATGAGGATCCATCCAGCCACAATACAGGGTCGAGGTGAGGCCCTGACCAACCACAATATGAGACTAGGGTGAGTACTTACCCAACCAATACAGAATCGAGGTGAGGGGCCACCCAACCACAATACTGGACTGAGATGGAGACCCACCCGACCACAACACGGGACCAAGGTGAGGACCCATCCAACAACAATACTGGACTAAGGTGAGGACCCACCCAACCACAATACAGGACCAAGGTGAGGACCCACCCAACCAGAATAACAGACCAAGGTGAGGATTCATCCAACCACAATACAGAATCAAGGTGAGGATCCACCCAACCACAATACAGGACCAAGGTGAGGATCCACCCCACCACAATACAGGGCCAAGGTGAAGTTCCACCCAACCACAATACAGAACCATGATGAGGATCCATCCAGCCACAATACAGGGTCAAGGTGAGGCCCTACCCAACCACAATATAAGACTGGGGTGAGAACTTACCCAACCAATACAGAATCGAGGTAAGGGACCACCCAACCACAATACTGGACTGAGATGGAGACCCACCTGACCACAACATGGGACAAAGGTGAAAACCCATCCAACAATACTGGACTGAGGTGAGGACCCACCTAACCACAATACAGGACCAAGGTGAGGACCCACCCAACCACAATACCAGACCAAGGTGAGGATTCATCCAACCACAATACAGAATCAAGGTGAGGATCCACCCAACCACAATACAGGATCAAGGTGAGGATCCACCCAACCATAATACAGGATCAAGATGAGGATCCATCCAGCCACAATACAGGGTCGAGGTGAGGCCCTGACCAACCACAATATGAGACTAGGGTGAGTACTTACCCAACCAATACAGAATCGAGGTGAGGGGCCACCCAACCACAATACTGGACTGAGATGGAGACCCACCCGACCACAACACGGGACCAAGGTGAGGATCCACCCAACCACAATACAGGATCAAGGTGAGGATCCACCCAACCACAATACAGGACCAAGGTGAGGACCCACCCAACCAGAATACCAGACCAAGGTGAGGATTCATCCAACCACAATACAAAATCAAGGTGAGGATCCACCCAACCACAATACAGGATCAAGGTGAGGATCCACCCAACCACAATACAGGACCAAGGTGGGGACCCACCCAACCAGAATACCAGACCAAGGTGAGGATTCATCCAACCACAATACAGAATCAAGGTGAGGATCCATCCAACCACAATACAGGATCAAGGTGAGGATCCACCCAACCATAATACAGGATCAAGATGAGGATCCACTCAACCGCAATACTTAACTGATTTTGTAGGCACAGAACCCCTGCCAGGTTTTTATTGAACTGTCTGTGTCATTGTAGACCCAATAGGTTGGTACAGGAAATGATGGTAGGTTTCTCCCCCCGAGGACACGGACTGTAACACATTATGGGGAGGGATAGAATGCCTGACTTCTTGTCCCAGTGACAACCGCTCTCCTCGCCTCTTGTCCTGCTGTCACAGGGAAATCCCCCCCCCCCCCCCCAGGATTTCATTTTTCCGAGTCTATACAAGACCTCGTTTTTGAAGGAGTCGTGCTATATTTCTGATCTGACTGGCTCTAGGGGATGAGGGGGAAATTTGGGGGGATTTAGGTCTGTGAGGGGTTTGTGAAGTAAGAACATCAACCATTCCTCATCATTTCCATATGGAGACGGATTGGCGAATCACCATCACCCTTATTGGGAGTGTCACTCATGAAGAACATCAGGAGACAACCAAGAACAAAGTCCCTTCTTATCAGATTGTTCCCATGATCTGCGGCCTCAGCCGGCTCACCAGCTCTGACATCATTACCCTCCATGACAATCCCGCCAAACCAAACACATCCAGTGCTGGAAGATAAACCATTCCATGAAATAAATATTCCCTAGAATGTCCCCTCACAGTCCTACTGGAAACACCAGACGATGTCAGGGGCCCAACTTACCAAGATACCTAGAATGTCCCCTCACAGTCCTACTGGAAACACCAGACGATGTCAGGGGCCCAACTTACCAATATACCTAGAATGTCTCCTCACAGTCCTACTGGAAACACCAGACGATGTCAGGGGCCCAACTTACCAAGATACCTAGAATGTCTCCTCACAGTCCTACTGGAAACACCAGACGATGTCAGGGGCCCAACTTACCAATATACCTAGAATGTCCCCTCACAGTCCTACTGGAAACACCAGACGATGTCAGGGGCCCAACTTACCAAGATACCTAGAATGTCCCCTCACAGTCCTACTGGAAACACCAGACGATGTCAGGGGCCCAACTTACCAAGATACCTAGAATGTCCCCTCACAGTCTATCTGAAAACACCAAAATGATGCGGGCCCAACTTACCAAGATACTTAGAATGTCTCCTCACAGTCCTAGTGGAAACACTAGATGATGTCAGGGGCCCAACTTACCAAGATACCTAGAATATCCCCTCACAGTCTAACTGAAAACACCAAAATGATGGCAGGGGCCCAACTTACCAAGATACCTAGAATGTCAACTCACAGCCCTACTGGAAACATTGGATGATGACAGGGTCCCAGCTAACCAAGATACCTAGAATGTCCCCTCACAGTCCTACTGGAAGTATAAGATGATGTCAGGGGCCCACCTAATCAAGATACCTAGAATGTTCCCTCACAGTCCTACTGGAAGTGTCAGATGATGTCAGGGGCCCAGCTAACCAAGATACCTCGAATGTCCCCACATAGTTCTACTGGAAGCATCAAATTATGCCAGGGGCCTAGCTAAGCAAGATACCTAGAATGTCCCTACATAGTCCTACTGTAAGTGCCAGATGACATCGGGGCCCAGCTAACCAAGATACCTAGGATGTCCCTACATAGTCATACTGGAAGTATCAGATGACATTGGGGGCCCAGCTAACCAAGATACCTAGAATGTCCCCTCACAGTCCTACTGGAAGTATCAGATGATGTCAGGGGCCCAGCTAATCAAGACACCTAGAATGTTCCCTCACAGTCCTACTGGAAGTGTCAGATGACATCGGGGGCCCAGCTAACCAAGATACCTAGGATGTCCCTACATAGTCATACTGGAAGTATCAGATGACATTGGGGGCCCAGCTAACCAAGATACCTAGAATGTCCCTTCACTGTCCTACTGGAAATATCAGATGATGTCAGGGGACCAGCTAACTGAGATCCCTGTTTGTCCCCACATAGTCCTATTGGAAGTGTCAGATGATGTCAGGGACCTGGATATGGGAGGTT